ATTTTCTCTTTTCACAAAAGATTGTGACTGTCTTTATTGTCAATAAATAGATGTGCACATCACCATTTTGAGTGACTAGCCAGCTGTACCAGAGTGTGTTCAGTGAATTCTCGATTGTTGGACATTTGAATGATCCCATGAAAGAGGCTTTAAGCAACATCCTTGTGTTTCCAGCAGCTTGTAAATGACAGGTTTCCAGGTGTGCCTGGAGCACATTGTATCCTCTTTGATCCAAATTGCCATGCCCTGGCAATTTGGATCAAAGAGGTTTATTAGGGTATGGGCTCCGGGTTAGCAGAATCTCGGGAGGGAGAGTTTCTCCAAGGTCAGCAAGACCTCAGATGTCAGAGCATCAGATTTCACATTGCTTTGACCTCACCCCTGCTGCTCCTTCCCCCCGCCCCCGTCTTGTCTACCAATAGTGACCCCTTGAGAAGTCGAACCATGTCTTGAATTGGTCTTTGTATCCATTATATGTGGCCAGGTGCCAGGCATTTTGGTAAATGTTCGCAGAATGGATGGGTACCTGGATGGATGGATGATTCGAGCCAGGGGCTTTGGAGAGATGGAATTCATTTTTACATTCTGTCCAAAAACCCCTGCTTTGGAAAGTAGTGATTTCCCTGACACTAGAGGTGTGTGACAGGAGGCTGGGCCAATTGGCAAGACATTGTGAAGCAAATTCAGGCATCAGAAAGGGGAGTGTATGAAATATAAGATCACTTCCAAACGTGAGAGTCTGGAACGCTAGGAAACACAAGCCCTGGGAGCTGAGATGCATGCTAAGTCACCCAGTTGAGCAGTTGTGGGGCTGTGAGTGGCTCTAAAATTTTCAAGCTTTTTCTTAGGACCTCAGACTAAAGTTTCCCTTTGCCTAAAAGCATCTTCCTGCTAGCGCGGCCTTTGGGGGCCGTCACAGCGCACAGAGATTAGAGTCCTGCAACAAGCAGTTGGGCGAGTTTATAGCTCTCTGTAACCTGAGAGTACAGACCAGACTGCTTTGATGAAATAGGGTAAACTGTGGGTGGGAGTTGCCCAGTGAGACCTGGGGAAAGGCAGGTGTTTCTGATTATATCTCACGATACGGGTAATATTAGGCAATTGGCAGCGCAGGGCGGTAGCTGGGGGCGGGGCTGGGCTCCGAGACTGGACCACGCAGTCCCTCTGAGTTGCACATAGACCTCGCAGGCCCAGAGGGCTGAAACTCTTCCAGGATGTGGCTCCGTGCTCTTGTCCTGGCCACTCTCTCCGGTTCCATGGCTTGGGGTGAGTCCTTCTGAAATACAAACATGCGGGGCACATTGGAAATCCTTGTTCTGGGTCGCGGTGGGCGCAGATGCGTAGAAAGGCAAAGGCACAACAGGTCCAGCTCCGCGCGCCTACGGACTGGAACTTGGAGCAGCTGAGCCCGGGCAGCCCCGGCCGCGCGGAGACGCAGGGAGGATGGACACCCTGAGACCGCCCTGCACTGGTCGCCCCCACGCAGGCCGGCAGCCGGCACACACGAGGAATTTAGGCAGCTCAGTTTACTGTCCCCTAAAGAGTCCGGTCATGGCCGGATCACGGACCGCGGCTTAGTAGAATATTAAGAGCATCGAGAGCCTGAGCCAGAGTGCATGGGTTTGAGTCCCGGCTGGGCGCTTCCTCGCTGTGTGTCCTTAGGCAAGGGACTGAGCATTTCCGTGCTTGGGTTGCCCCCTCTCTGAAATAGAGGTGGCAGTGCTACCTACCTCACTGGACTCTGGTGAGGAGGAATGGGTCGTTGTTTCTAAAGCGCTCTGGACAGCTCCTGGTGTGGAGAAAGCACAGAAAAGGGAGTGGACAAATAAAGGCGTTGTTAAAAAAAAAAAGTAGTGTATGAATAGAAAATATGAGCTGTGGTCAGGCCGCTATATCAGGACCTCTTGCCATGAAAAAGACAGTTTCTTACGAATATTTCCAACAGAAGGGGACACCAGTGAGGTGGGGGATGGGACACAAGGGAAAGCAGCAGAGCAGGGGGAGGGGGCGGGGGCAGATCTGAGCCCAAGAGGCTTTTACTGTGGCTTCCATTAGAAAGAAGAGGCAAGGCAGGCAGGCAGGCTGAGGATTGGTGAGTTGGGATAACTCAGGGGGCTCTGGGGCACAGGGGCTGTCCCTAGTTGTCTGGTACCTGGCCCTGGCGTGATTAGGGCAGGTGGGTAGTGGCCAGGGCATGGCAACTGGATCAAAGAGGTGGTTGGGGTGTGGGTTCTGGGTTGGCAGGACCCTGGGAAGGAGAGTTTCTCCAAGGTCAGCAAGGCCTCAGATGTCCGAATACAGAAAGCAAAACACATGGTACATTCAGGGGTGCAGGGAGGGGCCTCTTAATACCCCCAGGGCCATTTTATAGACGGAGAAACTGAGACTCACACAGGGAAATGTACTTGCCCAAGGTCAACCGGGAAATCATGCCTGGGCCTGTCTCTGGGTCGCAATCCTGACAGCCCAGGCCCCGCCTGCACCCTGTCCTCCTTCTGGCAGCCTGACACTGGGAGAGCCCTGAACTGTGTGTAACAGCAGAGGAAGAGAGGAACCCTGTTTGGAGCTGAATATTCCTTTACCTCTGGTTACTCCTGGCCATGCCATCCATTTCCTTCCTTAGGAAGTCCATACCGGCTGCTTCCACTTCCTCAATTTCCTCCTCTGTAAAATGGGAATATTGATGCCTACCCAGCAAGGCTTTTTTGAAGATGCATTTAAACAAATTGGAATGCATGCCTGGCACGGAGTAGGTGCCCACACGGTTTGTGTTTCATATCACATCAGCGGCAACTGCTCTTGTTCCCACTCTTGTTTCTGCCTCCCCTCGTTCACCCACTTTTTCACCCTTGGCAACCTGGCTGCCATCTACATCACCTTGTTGAAGGGAATCCTGAGCTGAGAAAGGCCAGCCCAGTGGTTTCCGCTCAGCCTTGTCCCATCTCCACCTCTCTGAAGCCCTCAGCACTCATAGCCGGCGCCTCGCCCTCTTCCTCCCTGGGCTTCCAGGACACCGGGAGGTTCTCTCCCCCAAAACTCTAATGGCTCTTCTGCCTCAGTTGTAGTGGTCCCTCTGTTTGAACTTTTGTTTTTTCCCTTTCCTCTCACACTGGCATCTTCAATGAAGCTACACACATTCATGGTGTGCACCCTCACCGTCTAGGAGAAGATTCTCCCCTGCTCCCTTGCCAGGCTTCCTTCCAGTATTGAAGTGTGCTCGTCCTATGGTGCCATCTTGCCAGGATATTCCACTGACATCTCCACCAAGCCTGTGAAAACAGGGACCCAGCATCACAAGGCAGCTCTTTGGTCTTCATTACCTTCCATGTTCCCCTAAACTGGTCAGAGACCAAGTCTTTCTTTTCTTTTCTATTTTTCTTTTTTTTTTTTTTTTAGATGGAGTCTCACTCTTTCACCCAGGCTGGAATGCAGTGATGCTGTCTCGGCTCACTGCAACCTCTGCCTCCTGGATTGAAGCTATTCTCCTGCCTTAGCCTCCTGAGTAGCCAAGATTATAGGCACATGCCACCACATCCAACTATTTTCATAGTTTTAGTAGAGACGAGGTTTTGCCATGTTGGCCAGGCTGGTCTCACACTCCTGACCTCAAGTGATCTGCCCTCCTTAACTTCCTGAAGTGCTGACATTACACCACTTACCTAATGGGTCCTGGTAATTGCTATGTTGTTAAACATCTTTCCAAGGAACTTCATCTCAGCGTCATTTGTAATTAGCAACAACAATAAAAAAAAAACAAGCTGAATATTCTCAGTATGGGGTTGGCTGTTAATGAAACATGGATGCTGTTGTGTAACTGGGCTTTGCATTCTAATTGGATATTCCCCTGTAAAATCAAACCTGAATTGCTCTATTCTGTTCTGGCTCCACTTTGATGGAGGTCTTGACGTCTTGTCTGTATCCAAAGTAGAGCAACTGTGAGGACAAGAGGCTGGAAATCATTTCCTAGGAGGGAAGCTTAGAAAAATTGAGTTCTCTGGAGCCAGATAGGACCTGAGGGGTGGGCAGCACAATCAAGTGTCTGAAAGGCCACAGGCAAAAGATCAGATCAGGCCACCACAGTCCCATGGCAGGTAGAACCAGGACTGATGCATAGGCTTTTGGAAATGAATTTCAGCTCAATGAGGAAGCATTGTCTGTGCTGCAAGAATGGATCAGACCTGCCCAGGGTCACCAGAAGAATCTTCCTCGACCTAATCATTTTCTTTATCCAGAACAGTTCCTGCTGTTTATTTGTCCACTAAACAAAAGTCAAGCACTTCACCTGTCATTCTAGGCCCTCTCTGACATGCACTCTCTCATTCTAGGACTATTTACCAATCCCCTCAGACTCCACCTGTTGCACTTGGGCCACGCCCCCTCCTCCAGGCAAGCTCTGCATTCTGCTGCCTCTGAGCCTCAGCACATTCCCTTCCTTCTCTCTGCTCTGTACCACTCCCTGCTTCTCATCTCTCCTTATTCAATCCTTCCTTACTGCAAGTTCCAGCTTCTCCATGATGCCCTCAATCAGAAGGCCTTACCCCTCTTCTAGTTCCTGGACTGCCTTACGGATACCTCTTCCAGGACACAGCCACTTCCTTCCAGCTGCAGGGTCAGGTGTATATGTGACCCTTCCCTGTCAGAGTCAGTGCTTCTGAGAGTACAGGGCAGCTCTTGTTCATCCTTTCAGCCAGCTAGCGGCTCAGTGCCAGGATTCTAAGGGATAAATGTTTCCAAAAGCTTCTAAGGTGGAAGCTAAATGTCTTATTCTTTCCTAGTGGCTCTCCTTCTTGCACTGATTTTTGGCTGGATGTTTTCATGCCTCCAATTCTAATTTGCTCCTTAAACCAGCTCAATGAGTTAGGAAGGACAGTGATCCTCATCCCTATTTTACATCAGGAGAAACTGAGGCCTAGAGGGTTTAGGTGACTTATTCAAGGTCACACACCTAGAAAGTGGCAGACCCCACCTGGAACCCTTGTCCAGCCTTTCACCTCTGATGCATTCTGATTTATTCTCCATGTCCAGCAGGGCACCATTCCTCGCCACCTGTGGTGGACACCATGCATGGTAAAGTCCTGGGGAAGTTCATCAACTTGCAAGGATTTGCACAGCCTGTGGCCGTTTTCCTGGGAATCCCTTTTGCCAAGCCTCCTCTTGGACCCCTGAGGTTTACTCCACCACAACCTGCAGAACCGTGGAGCTTCGTGAAGAATGCCACCTCTTACCCTCCTATGTAAGCCAGGGGTGGATTTGGCACATTTCAGTGGGATGTTCGCCTCGATGTGATGCAGGAAGGAGTCAAGGCAGTCCCCCGATGGGCTGATACTTTGCTCTGGAATCCTGAGATCATTGTAGATCCTTAAGAACATTCCAGAACTCTCACAGCTTTCTAGAGTCCATTATTTAACACATGTTTATTGAGCACCTACTGTGTGCTGGGCATGTTCTGGATTCTTGGGATCTATTAGGGAACAAAGCAAAGATCCCTAGGTTCATGGAGCGTGCATTCTAGCAGGGGGAGACAGGTAAGAAACAACACGCAAATTACTCCATGGATGATGTGATATGTTAGAACAGGACAAGTGCCTTGGAAACAAGGTAGCAGTTGAGCAGGAGAGGGAGATCAAAAGTAAGGATCCCATGAATTTCCCTGTCTTGAACTTTGGCATAGCTGGGGAGAGGGATGAGTCAGGAGGTGTGTGGGTGGGAAGTGTACTGAGGTGGCCACTCAGCAAGTGCTCAACTCTCAGGTGTGCCCAGCTCCCTGTTCCTGAGGAGAACAATGGCAGGTGTGTGCAGTCACCCTGGCCAAGCTGGGAAGAAAAACCCAAAGGTTCTGATTGGCCTCACCACCACTCCGCAGTGTACCAAGGACCCCTATAGGCATCAAACCAGACCCCATTCATCTGTGCAGCCAGGTACTTGGGGGGTTTCCAGCAGCCCACCTCTGGCTCGCCTTTTTTTTCAAATAATGTTTACTGTTTTTATTTTTTTGACTGCAAATGTAATATATACTTATTACAGAATATTTAGGAAATACAGAGAAGGAAAAGTAAGAAAATTGAAATCACATAAAATATCCCACCATCCACAGAAAATAGCTTGATAGATTCATAGTGGATATTTTAGGTCATAAAGTATTATCATCTAATATTTTGTTTGTATTCCAGGTTTTTTTTGTTTGTTTTGTTTTTTGCCTACTGCTATCCTTTCTTCCTTTAAAACAGGAAGCTACGTTCAGATAATTTGGATGCCTGCTTTGCTCATTTATAAGTATGTCATGAGCATCATTCTATACCATTTAATAGCACAGCATATATCAGCACCTGCATTACATTTGGTATTGAACCATAATTAGTTTCCCCAAGGTTTTATTTGGGGTCATTAAGTTACATATGATGTTTTTGATATTATAGAGAGCACTGTGATGAATATTTTGTAGTGAAATCTTTATGTACATTTATAAATATTTTAGGATAAGTGTCCAGAAATGACATTTCTCAATCAAAGAATATATGTCTTTTGTTAAATTTCTCTGCCAAAATATTCCAGCTACACTCCTGCCATTGATGGATGAAAACCTCCATTCAGCAGACTGTTGTCAATGACTGGGGTAATTTAAAAATGTTTTTGGTTATTGGGTAGGCAAAACAACAACAATAATAGCTATATTATTTTCCTCTTTAGTCTGCATTTATCTGAAGACCAGTGAGGTTGAGTTCTCTTCCCCTTTCTTTGCATTGGAATGTCTTTCGTTTATTATTGCTATGCATCTTACTCCTGGTGATCTGTAGGAAAATTTCCTGGGATGAAAAGCAAGAAGTCACCTTTACTGGCCCCGATTCTGTCACTTGACAGCTGTCATCCTGGAGCCTGACTGCCTCAGTTTCCTCATGTACATAGTGGGGGCAGTGATGCCTGCCTCCTGCTGCATTGAGATCTGGGGCTGTTGCTTATAATATACTTGTGTATAAGCACCACGTGGCATGGATCTTCCTGGCTATGTGATGTACGTCAGGTTCTCCAGCCTCTCTGGGCTTGTTTTCTCATCTGTAACATGGAGATAATAGAACCTATGTAATGGGACTGATCTGAGGCTTAGATGAGTTAATACACAAAGAGTACTTAAAACAGTGCCTGGCGCACTGGGAGGACTCAGTTACTATTGCACATGTTCATCTATGTTCGATCTTTGAGCTCTTTCAGCACTTGCCTGGGATGGGTTGATGGTCAAATCTTGGCATGTGAAGGCTGCAAGACCTATGTAGAAATACTCCCCTCACTTAGACCTGGCAGATTGGGACCCAGAATGTGAAAGGAATTCACCCAAAATCACCTCGTAAATGCATAGCAGAGAGAGGACTAGAGCACAGTTTTCCTGATGTTGTCCCACAAAGATTTCACCCCTGAGCTATTGCGGGAAATGTCACCTCCCAGGGAAGATCAGTGTATTGTTTGTTTCCTTTTCTTGGTGCTGGGAGTCCCAAAGGCTCCAGAATGGGAAGGGGTGTGAAGCCCTTCTCACTCTGCTTGGTCTCAGGAGACTTTAATGAGTCCTAGCCCCACCACCTGAAGGCTCTGATAGCCTCCTACCCATTCCAATATATTCAGTTTGTAAATATCAAGTCATTTTCAGGCTTAAACCTCCAAGTCCTTGGTGCTGCACCAGAAGACAGCTGGCTTAGATCCACTGAACTTCAGGGGTTCTTCTTTTCCCCTACCCAGGTGCTCCCAAGATCCCACGGCAGGGCAGTTTCTCTCCGAGCTCTGTACCAACCGAAAAGAGGATATTCCTCTCAAGTTTTCTGAAGACTGTCTTTACCTCAATATTTACACTCCTGCTGACTTGGCCAAGAAAAGCAGGCTGCCGGTAAGCCGTGGGATCCCCTGGTTGAGGCGTGTCAGTTCCAGTTCCCCGGATCTTCTGGGCCACACCAGAAGGGGGTGAAGGCAGCTTGGGGAGGGGGCTGCAAAGGCCAGGATTGTTTCAGGGACCCCAGGACCTCCACGGAAACACAGGTTTTCCACACCTCAGTTTCCCCTTGTGACACAGGGCCTCTGGGGGAATCTGCTGTACATCTTTAATGCACATCTTAATTGTTCCAAGTTCCCTTATGCTAATGAAGGATGAGAATGATTACTTTTAGTTACTAGATTAAAAATCTGATACCCAGAGTGGGCAAGACATGATGTCCAATAATGTTAGAGGTGGAAGAGACTTAGAGAAAAGCCAACACCCCAACTCTTCCATTTCAGATAGAGAAACTGAGGCCCAGACAGGAAAGGAGAGGTCGCAAGTAGGGTAGTTTTTGCTCAAGTCTTCTGATCTTCAAACCAGTGCTTTTGACTTGGAGTGGGGCATTGAGCTCGTATGTGGCCTTTCTGCAGCACACCCACATCCATCTGGGGTAACTTTCACTGTCTGGGTATGGGTGTTGGGGGCAGAGCCTGGAAAATCCCAGGAGCACTTCCTTTTGCCTTTGGCCAAATATCTGGGATTTTGTTGTACCTAATTTCCTCCCTAATTGTCTTGGCAAAGACTGATAACCCAATGTGTTAGCATTTCCCGAATAAACAAAGGGCAAGAGATAGGGCAGGCTGCCAGCTGCAAGTTGGAGGGTAGGGAGGTCTGCTGGCAAAGAAGGCCACCCCAGGGTGGAATAAAGGGTGTCGCATCCAGCGGCATCATGGCGTGGTGCCCAGGAGTGAGAGAGCAGGCCTGCGAACGCGGGACTAGAAGTTGTCCCTACATGTGCTTCGTAAGACACAGGAAGTGGGAGAAAGTGTTACTCACTCACTCATTCATTCATTCATTCATCTATTGTGTACTTGGTGCGCCATATACACAGTTAGACTCTGGGCTTTAGGGAAAAGAGGAACATCAACCCACTCCACGCAGCCCCTGCCTTCAAGGATCTTGCCATCTGGGCTGTAGAGTCATATTCTCCCTTCAGCAGGTTATTGCAGGCCAGCCCTCGGGTCAGCCTTCACACAAAGATGGATGCATGCTCAGTTCCTCCCCAGGAGACAGGCAGGCATTAGAGGTGTGGGAGAAACAGGGCTCTGGGAATCTGGAGGTGGGAGAACCTCCAGGAATGGCCACAGGTTCTAGAACTACACATGCTTAGAACAGCACTTGGTACATAGTTATGAGTTCTTTTATATTTTATTAATAATATTACTACAATATTATTATTTTAGCCACTCTTCTTCCTTGATATGTGGACTTTTAAAATGAGAGAACCTTGTGTTAGGAATTGTATCCACTCTCATCCTCGGGTATTCACTTAGTTCCTGATGCTTAGTAAGATCTCAGATAGTGCTAGTCAAATGATTGAAGGCATCCTGGAGGTGGTGGGTTTTAGGGTGGGATTTCAGAATTTGGGGATGCAGAGGCATAAAGGAGGCATTTGAGGAAGAGACACCATCACAGGCATGTGTGGTTCTCAAGACAATCATTCATGCACAGAAAAGTTTAATTCACCATGAGAGAGTTAACTGAGATGAAGCTGAGTTACAAGGGCTGCCCCATGGGTACGCTGAGCTGCATGAACAGTCCAGGCTTGAGGGTGATAGAAGTGAGGGCAAGACCAAGACTTCCTTAGCCTTTGCTGTGCCCGTGATGATGTTCTCCGTGTGAAGAGCCTTTGGCGGAGGTGGCACTGGAGGCTGGGTAAAAGGAAAGGGCAGCCAGGGTGTGTACAGTGGGGTGGTGGTTTGAGCCCCAGTTGGGAGAATTATAGAGGAGAGAGACTGCCTTTTGCAAACTTGCTGGGCGCTGGTGAACTTTGGGTAACATCCTCCTTCAGTTGTGACCTAAACAAGGCACCCTCTGGGTGCTCCCTGGCTCTGTGCCCTGTAACTGGTCTGTTGCTTCCCGCCTGCCCAGGTGATGGTGTGGATCCACGGAGGGGCGCTGTTGCTGGGTGGGGCATCAACCTATGATGGGCTGCCCCTCGCTGCCCATGAAAACGTGGTGGTGGTGACGATTCAGTACCGTCTTGGCATCTGGGGATTCTTCAGGTAAGAAATTGGACTCTCCTCCCTGCACTTTGGCCCCCAACATGAGGAAGCTAGGACCCAGCTCTGGTCATGTCAGCCCTCAGGGGACCTTAGCTCGGTTCCTCAGCAAAGCATCAAAGCACCTTCATAAGTGGATACTACCTACTCTCTCACTCCGCAGCCACACTCATCCACTTGCCTCTGAGCTTTTGCATGTGCTGTTCCCTCTGCCTGGAATGCCTATTCTACCTGATGAACTCCTCTTCATCCTGCAAGACCCAGCCCCCAGTTACCTCCTCTGAAAGACTCATCTCCTTTTCACCTGTGCTGCTTCCACACATGGCATTTCTCTGTCATAGCAGATAACAGTTAGCCCAGGCATTGAAGATTGACACATCTGACTTCTCATGAGAAAGGAGGGAAGGGGCAGTCACAAATGGAGCTCAGTGCATGTTGTGGGTGAAGGAATGGGGACTGCAGATGGTGGGGTGTGGGAGCATCTGTCCCCTTTCCGGAGGAGTGTTGGGGCCCACGTACCCCATTTTCTGCTTGAAATCTGGCAATGCAGGAAGCAAGGATGGAATCATCCCCATCAGATTTCCACGGGGACAGGAGCAATTACTCCTGCAGGGTGGAATTACTATGAACATTTTCTAAGTGTGTCCCCCCCAGCACCCCAATCCTGAGTGAGTGATGGGAGGGCTGTGGGAGGGATTGCACTCACCGATGGGAAGACCTAGGGAGATGGAGGATGGGTTCTGGTCTACCTGTCAGCAGGGCGCCCCAGGCCAGTCTTGGCCGTATCACCTTCATGGGACTCCACATCCCTTTCAGCCACAGCCTGTATCTCTGCTCCCGCTTACAATAAAGCTGCCTCATGATCTCTCTCCACTTCCTCTCCTCCGTGTGTCTCCTCCGCCCATGCCGGCCATGTTTGTTCCTGACCACACCACTCAGCTGCTCTCATTGTGGTCACTGGTGACTGCCGCTGCTCTCCACCCAGCCGCACAGGACCTCCCAGCAGCAGCCGATGGCCACACAGCCTCTGTGAAATGCTTCCTCCCCAGCCCTTTCCCGGTGCCTCCACCCCCCTGTCCGCCGGCCTGTCTTGTCTCCCTCTCCCTCTCCACTAATTCCCAGTGATCCCAGGGAGCCGCCCGGAGCCCCCGTTTCCAGCCCACCTCTCCTTTGAAGCCCACAGGCGTCACTCACTGTCTCCTCTCTGCCCCTGGCTCTTTAAAGGGTGCCCCGCTCTTCCCAGGGACCAGCTGAATCCTTGACGCCCTCCCCAGCAGAGACCCCCTCCTCCTCCCACGGCACCTCCTCTCAGCTGCTGCTGCCCCATCCTCTCAGGGGCTCAGAGAAGGCCTCTTGGGCAGCCTGGACTCTCTTTTCTCACAAACCTCGTGGCTCCACCTTCAGAATCCACTCAGAAGCTACAACTTTGCACCTCCTCCCTGGCTCCTGCCCCAGCCTAAGTTTTCTGTCTCTTGCCTGGGTTATGAGCCTAATACTCAGTTTCAGATCCCTGCCAATTTTATGCTGGGGCTGAGCTGCACAGTAGCCAGAGTGATCGCTTAACACATGCATTGAATCACATGATGCCTCTGTGAAAAGCCCTGCGGGGGCTCCCGTGTCCCCTGTGATGACAGCAGAAGTCCTTGCCAGGGCCCCAGGGCCTGTCTAGCTGCACTTCCCCACGCACACTTTCTTCCCCTGGGCCCCAGGGCCCTTGCACTTGCTTTTTCTTCTGCCTGGAATTCCTTTCTTTGGTTATTTGCAGGCTCATGTGCTCATTGTGCTTGTTTGATGAAGGTCTTTGGCTCCAAGACCTCAAATGCCACTGCCTCCAAAAGGCCTTCCCTGGTTGCAATCTGAAATGGCACCGTCAGTCCCACCCCTGTTTTTCTTTACCGCACTGTATTTTCCTCAATGCACTTTTACTACCTGACATCGTTATATCCTCTCTACGTGTCTGTTTATCCGCTTATGATTTGTAGTGGGAGCTCCGTGTTGGCAGAATTTTTGCCTGTTTTGCTCTCACATGTGCTTCAGCTCATAGGACAGTGTCAGGCATATAGTAGATGCTCAGTAAATAGTTGCCGGTTGAATGTATGTGGAATCACACACCAAATGTAGGAATATAAGGCAAGGTTTCAGAGATGCTGAAGCCCAGCACCCCCAGCCCCATCTGTGGTCCTGAAGGTCCTGCCATGACATCTCTGATCCCCACCCTCAACCTGTGTTTTTCCTCACAGCACAGGGGATGAACACAGCAGGGGGAACTGGGGTCACCTGGACCAGCTGGCTGCCCTGCGTTGGGTCCAGGACAACATTGCCAGCTTTGGCGGGAACCCAGGCTCTGTGACCATCTTTGGACAGTCAGCGGGAGGAGAAAGTGTCTCTGTTCTTGTGAGTGATCCTGACATCAGCCCCAACCCCATACTTGATGTGATGCTGATGGGACCTCTTGGAGACCTGTGAATCCGACTATGGATACCTCTGCTTACAATACCTGGGTTCAGGACTGACCCTACTCACTGACCAGCATCGGGAGTGGAGAGCTGAAGATCAAGCTCTCCTTGGCCCCCAGGAAGCTCAGAGCTCATTTTAGTGTCCTGGGGCCATAAGAATCTCCAGTTGCAGCCTACAATGGTGACATTGTCCTCTTCTAGCTTGGTTGAGTTCTCTCTCTCTCTCTCTCTTTCTCTCTCTCTCCCGCTCTTTCTCTCTCTCTCTTTCCAACTGATTTTAACATAAGAACTCATTTCCCTTCTCTTGGGAAGTGGGGCTAGGCATAAGTTATGAGTAATTATAGGCAAAGACAAGAGGTGGACAGAGGTCATTGTTCAGCTCAAAGCCAGATCTACCTGTGGAGGGAATGTGGACACTGAGCAGATTGGGGATTCCTCTGGCATGGTCTGATGATTGGTCCATGCCCCAAAAGGAGGCAATCGTCTCTGTGACTGAGGGGCCTAGTGGGCTAGGGGAAGTGGCAAGAGGAAGTAGGGATGGAGCTGAGGATGGGGAGGGATGGAGCAGGGGATGTGAGACACAAACACAACCTGGGGCTGTGAGAGGTCCTGCTGGGGCAGGGGTTGGGTGCAGGAGACACCAGGGGAGCTGGGATGAAAAACCAGATGAGAGGGTGCCGGGAGCTGTAGGAGCCCTCCAGCTGCCTCGAGGTGGGCAGAGGGTCAGTCCCACTACAGTGTTCTTCAATCCTGTGTTGGTTTTGTGGTTGAACACTCAGTGGAAAACATTTTTATACTTTTTAAAGTACAGAAAAAGAAAAAATACAGATAAGCCCAAGAAAGACAAAAGCCATTCATCATCCCACAACCCAAGGGTAGTCACTCTGCTGACTTTGACATGGATTTTTCTAGTCTTGTTTCAATGACTTTACATCTATCTGTCCAACCCTCTATCCATCCATCCACTTATCAATCGATCTACCTATCATGTCGCTATTATCTATCTTTGTCTTTATTTTTACAAAAGTACTTTCCTGAACATGATAGTACAACATAAATATTTTACAAAATATCAAATTCTGTCCTATAATAGTATCTCTTATAACTGCACAGTATTTAAAAATAAGAACGAAAAACCATTTATTTGCCCAATCTCATAACATTGGACCCTTAGGTTATGTCCAGTGCTTACCATTGTAAACAGCAGGAGCATTCTTAGAAATCTTTGTGTGCTTCTGGGATCATTTTTTAGGATAAGATCTGAATCATGGAGATGCTGAATTGTAAGTTGTGGCTAGGCAACGCTAAGCTGCCTTTCTAATATGTTTGTTGGTTAGGCTCATCTGTGCCCACACCTCCTGTTATGTCCCTGCCCTGTGTTCTGTCCCTATCCCACTGAGGATCCCTTGGGTGGCCAGGTGAGAGTTGAGCTTGGCAAACAGGCCAAGCAAGGTTCTCTTGGGTGGGAGGACCTCTTGGGTGGGAGGTGAGCCTGCAAGAAGACCAAGCCAGTTAAGGAGTCATTGTGTCCACTGAGCCACCGAGTGTCAGGGAAACAGGCCAAGGCAGAGGTGGGGTGGAGGTAGCCTGGAAGAGCAAGAGAGTCACCGACCCCACTTCTGAGCATGAACTCTCCTCCCCTCCTTTCTGCTCCCAGGTTTTCTCTCCATTGTCCAAGAACCTCTTCCACCGGGCCATTTCTGAGAGTGGCGTGGCCCTCACTCCTGGTCTGGTGGAGAAAGGCAACATCAAGCCTCTGGCTGAGGTAGGTCCCCCACTGGAGGTCCCCACCCTTTTGGCTCTGTGCTCCTTAATTCACAGGGGTCACTCTTGCTGTGGGTTCTAGCTGATGTTCTCCTAGAATCACTGAAGTGCCAAAGGCTGAGCAGGAAGGGCAAGGAGACACCCATCCTCCCAGTTTCACGGCTAGGCAAATGATCGCAGGGCTTGGAAGGGATTTGCCAAGGGCAGCAGGTGATCAGGGCAGAGCCGGGACTCCAGCTCATGGCCCTAGACAGCCAGTACAGCGCCCTGTCTGTGACCACACTCCTCTGATGTGCCAGTGCAGAATGCCATATTGGGTAGTGGGCAGCAGGCTGAGATAATGTCTGTGTCTCTCAGGGTCTAAGTTCCATGGACCCATTTGTGGGATGTAAGCCTGGAGCAGTTCCACACTGAGAGCCTTATAACCAGGGTTGATTCCTGGAGAATTCACTCATTCATTCATTTGTTCCCTCAAAACTAGGTGAATAAGTGAAGGCAAAAGCAAGAGGTAGGCAGAGGTCATTGTTTGGCTCAAAACCAGATGTCCATGTGGAGGGGACGTGGATACTACATGGCTCTATGTGGCTCTGCATTCTAGCCAGACACTTAGCACCTCCCCAAGCTTCCACTGTAATGTAGGGAATAGATGAATAGTTACAGAATCACATTATTAGAAAGCATCACTTATGACAAGAGCAGTGGAGGAGATGGACTTGATGCCACAGCAGAATCTAAAGAAAGCATTGAGTCCCGGGGCAGAAGGAGGTTACTGGGCAAGGCTTGCTGGAAAAGTGAACAGTGAGTCAGGAGCAAAGAAGGTCCAGGGAGGGGAGCAGCACATGCAGGTGTCCTGTGGCAGGAGGGTGCACCCGATCGTGAGTGAGAGAGAGAGAGAGAGCAGGGGGAGCGTGGCAAGCGCTGAGGGCAGGGACGTTGGCAGGGGCCATGCCACACAGGACCCTGGCAAGGATTTTGTCATCATCTGGAGAGCAGTTGGAAGCCAAAGGAAGAGGTGATCAATAGGAATCCAGACCTAGGCTGAGGAGTGCCCACTGGAGCCAGTGGTGTGGAGGATTTTGGTAGATTTGAGAGTTGTTTGGGGAAAGCATCCAAACTTCAAGGGCTGATACATAGGAGAGAAAATGGGGATGCCAAGAATTTTTAGAACTTTTGAGAATTTTTTAGAATTCATTGGTTATTAGCAACAGTTGCCCATTGACCAGACTTTACTCAAGAAAGGATCGGCTGGGTGTGGTGGCTCATGCCTGTAATCCCAGTGCTTTGGGAGGTGGAGGTGGAAGGATTGCTTAAACCCAGGAGTTCGAGACCAGCTAGGGCAACAAAGTAAGACCCTGTCTCTACAAGAAATAAAAATTTAAGCTGGGCATGGTGGTGAAAGCCTGTGGGCCCATCTACATGGGAGGCTGAAGTGGGAGGATCACCTGAGCCCAGGAGGTCTAGGCTGCAGTGAGCTGTGTTTGCACCACAGGAGCCTGGGCAACAAAGCAAGACCTTGTCTCAAAATCTTCTTTTTAAAGGGAGAATTAATTTTTCAAGGAAACAGAGGTCTGAGATGACACTGGGCTTTGTGAAAAAACAGGAAGCAGAAATTGCAAAATGAGAGTCCTAGACTCTCTTACTCTTGTTCCCCCTGCCCCACCCTGTCTGTCTGTCTTTCTCTCTCTCTCCCTCACCCTCTACTTCTCCCTTTCCCTGTTTATTTATTGGAGAACCACATTTGGCATCGATTCTGTCCCAGATCCTGTACGTGGCTCTGGGCACCTCCATGCACACTCGCCCCGGCGCCCCCGCCATGGCGGCTGCCTGCTCTCCCTCTGTGCCCTTCTCTCTGGCTCCACTTTGCTTCCAGTCAGCATGAGCACCCCATCTACCCCCAAGCTTAAGGACTCCATTTTAGTTTTAGAAAGTAGTCAGATTTCTTTTCTGTTGTGGAAAACGAGCATTTTTACCTTGGTAGCTCGCCGCCCCGAGTCCAGATCACTTAAGAGAGAGGCTCAGTGTCCCGTCTTTGCTTCAATCTCCCTGGACTCATAGAAAAGTAAGAAGCCAGATTGTGCTGGGCAGACTGACCCCAATCCCCAGGACAGGCAGAAGGGAGCCTCTCCCTCAGCAGGACTTTTTAAATTTATTTATTTATTTATTTATTTTTACATTTTTTTAAAGATGGAAAGAGGTTCTTGGTGCATCAATTGGTGTTGATCTGTGGCTTGATTTAGGACAAAGATGCGCAGACCTTGGCCCAGGGCCAAATCTGTGTCTATGCTGCATGGCCTCTGAGCTAAGGATGAGTTTTTAAATTTTTAAATGATTGAAAGGAATCAAAAGAAGAACACTATTTCATGAACCATACAATTATCTGAAATTCAAATTTCAGTGTCCATAAAG